CACAGAGTTTACAGCGTCGCTGAACTCGAATGTGGCATCGGAATTTATTTTCATGGACCCCATTCGAATCCCAGGTGTGCCATTTTTGAAACTATGTTTATACTCTTGTCACAAGCTAGAAAAGGAAAATTTGACGGAAGTGCTTAATTAACTAACGGTTTTTTGGAGGTACGGACTCCCCATCTTGGATAGCTATAGAAGTAACTGGGAATAATGTAAGAACCTAATTGGTACAATGAGGCCTCTGTGAAGCATGTGAAGGCTTTTGTTTCCGCAGCGGAGCGTAGGTATTTTATGCTCAACTGCCGTAATTAAAGTAATCCACATGAACTTCGTTGATTTTTCAACACTTCAATTAGCCCATTCATCAAAAACTCGTTATCCACAGCTTAGAATTATCAAAATCATTCCAATAGGTTCTTTCGTAGGTGGCAATATACATATTTCTAGTTTCATTAACAATGTCAAGCCTGAGATTAATAGCTTTAAAATGATTATGCAGATACTCAAATATGTCATGCATTATTTTCACGGTTCCTGCGATAGTAATTTGTACACTACTTTATATATTAGTGATTATAGCATCCAAATGTCTTTTATAACTTTTGGCATATTTGTCATAATATTTTACATTTATCTTCTGGTCAGGTTTTTAGCTTTCCTATCTTTATCTTTCAAAATATTTCTAGATATTTGTTCAAGCTCAACGTTATTCACTAATATCTTTATCAACTTTAAAGTTTTCCTTGAATTTGTAGTAACTTTCTTGAGTTTTTATTTAGTTTTTCTACCATTTTCAGGTTATCTTTTCTTTACAGTTTTCTCCCTATTGTAGGTAGATCTTTAAAATGTTTTCTAATTTACAAAGTTTTATTAAACCTATAAATGATTTCATTTGTCACATCTATAATGATGCTAAATGCTTATGCACTGGAATTCCAATTTAGAATTTTACGTCGAGAAGAAAAAATTAGTAATTTTAATCCACTAAGACTTGCCCTCCAGTGGTACAGCGATATATCTGCGCTAGAAACCGGATTTCGATACTCGTGGTGGATAGAGCACAGATAGCCCATTGTGTAGCTTTGTGCTTAATTATAAACAAACAAACCACTAAAACTTTTCTAACTGATCAAATTTTAGTCGATTCACTAAAATTCTAAGTTTTGCCAAAAATATATAGTTTGTGAATTTTATATTAGTGTAGTGAGGTAAGCCCTCAGACTTAACGCTGAGCAGCCGAAGAAGCTAATATTTTCTATAATTCTCAAGTAGCCTTAATGCGTCTCTAGTTTTAGTGACAGAAAATAAAGTTTTGAGCAAATTAATAGGATGTCTTTTGCGAAAAAAGCGAATGATTAAATTTTAAGCAAAACTGATAATAAATGACCCACGTTCTTTAAAATATTTCAAGTTGTGGTAATAATTAAGATAAAATAAGAAGACTGAGAAAACAGTGAAAACCTTTTTTTATTTGCAGACTACAGTGGGCTTAAGAAGCAAAGTACTAAAGTTAGCATGTTATATGAGCATATGCTTGAAGAAGCGTCAAACGTACTCATTTTCTGCTCTAAAAAAATAAATGGAATCTGAAAATAGATCAAAGTAGCTTAATAAAATATTTTATTTGTTCATCAAAGCAGAAAAGACTATCATTTAATCAGACACAAATCAGAGATGCAGTATGTGCAAATTAAAGTTTCTACGAAAGAAGACATCTTGGAGTAAAAGTACAAGCATTTGATCACCAAGAACGAGTTTCAGTGCTGTTTAGAAAAGAAAAAATTCGTGATTGGATTTCATTATTTTTGCTTTGCATTTGCACTTTTAGGAAGTAAATTAAGGTTTTAGTCAGTAAGCTTCATTTTTTAGATTATATTTGTTATTATCTAATTTGTAGTTTTTATACATGGCCTTGTTCTTCTTGAACTCAATTTTATATTTGTATTTTCATGAAATTTCTACTCTTTATAATTAAATAAATATTTCGCAAACACAGCTCAATTAATTATTCAGCTCATTTGTTTAAAAGTAGTTTTAATTACTTCCTATCGTACGTTTTTCGACAAAACAACAAAATAAATCCTGATGATGTAATGAGTTATTCTGACTTTATGGTGATAATAAACTAACTAATTTCAATTAGAATGTGAGATTCTTATAAATAGAAAAGATAAGTGTTTGTTTGCGTGTTAGAAACCCGGTTTCTAGCGTTTTAAGTCCGCAGACATACCGCTGTGCCACTGAGGGGCAAAACTCAACCATAAGATGTAATAGAAAACTCAACTTGTTAAAGTTTTTAGTAAAACAATAGCTATTTGTCGAGAGATTCAAACGAAATTTCCGATCGCAAAAATATAAAGCAGATTGTGAAAGCTCTCTTTTAGGTGGTTGAAGTTTTGAGTGTGTTTAAATGGTATGTATGATGTTCACAAATGACATTATAGCATATTTTATTTGCTCTACATATCTCGATTATTATCCTATTTTTTGTGAAAACATCAACCTATTGTAGAGAAACGCTGACCTCTTAAATTAAGCAGTATATATGTATTAAACTCTAATCACATCTTAGACTTATTGACTCTATAGGTCACACCAAAATTCATCTTTACGTCATAGTTACATCTTCGTAATAGTATATGAAGGACAAACAATAAAATAAACATCTCACAATTTCAACACCAGAGGAACTAAAACATATTTTTTCCTTGTGAACCTCTCTTCACTTTAGATTAAAAGCAACGTATACATCATGTCCGTAGTACTTGTCACTTTTTTCTGCTGTTTTAACATTTCATATTAATATATAATTATCTCGTGAACAGTTTTAGATTACGATTCAACAGTTAAACCTAGCAAGAAGGCTTTATAATGCTTTGAAAATAAAGTTATGCTTTCTGTATGATCTAAAGTTGACATTTATCAATTAGTTCCCTGCCTAGGTGAATTAAATCATCCCATCAATCCATTCACGATTCATTCTTAACCTAAGTCTTCCCATTTAATTGTTATATCTATCACTACATATTAAGGGGTATTTCTAATACTGAAAATGTCGGGTTTTCAACTGTTTGGTTTGGATATACGGTAAACTTTGACCCCTTCCTGTCGTCTTCATCACAACTCCTTATTTTTAAAGTTATCACGACAGTTTGCGCCCTTAATAGCAAATACGTAAAATCAGGTGTCATTGAGGTACCTTCAATGTCATCACAGGTCTATCAGGTAAATAATAATTAAGATATAATAAATTAAATATTACGAAAGGATATTTTTGATAATATCTAATGATGTAGAATGTTAAACAAGAACACCAATATGTATATTTTACATAATGCTGATGAATATTGAACGAGTTTCATCGTATTTATAGTAGTGTTTAACTTCATGAAATGCGTGAACCAAAACTTCTAAATATTACAAATAAAGTTTTTTCTGTGGTGCTTAATTGTCCTTTACATTAAATAGTGTTTTTCTTAGGAAGTAAATTTTGTAATAGTATGACCACTTTGATCGAATCGTTTAGGATTACATATTTTTTATTACCGTACTCGTTTAACTTCAAAATGTGCAAATCACTTTACGTCAATTTATTTCCATGAAATTAAAAATAGGTTATACAACCCACTTCATCTACACACAAATTACGTTGTTTTCTAAACATAGTTCGAAACTATTTTTGTCACAACAGATCACAGAACGTCACTTTACTCAAGGTTAATGTTTGGTGATTAAAATTTTGTATCACTTTCATAAAAATATGTACTAGCAGATGTACCCAGCGATGTCGGGAATTTGACCAAGACTGTATAACCATAAAAAGTTATTTCAAGTAACTAGACCAAAAAAAAAACACAAAACACGCAAATAAAGGATAGACAAATAAAATTAAAGTTCAAAGTACAGCGTGGGAAGAATAAGATGTATCCTAATAAAAGAGGTATATGAAGAAGTTAGAACCCACAAAGTCCCACTGAAACCAATACTTACCGTCTGAAACCAGTTCTAGAAAGGAATTTTATCTTAATAAGGCAGAAAATAAGGAGTATAAACATAAAGTCAATCAGGTTACTTCTACAATAGATATATAAATACATGAAGACAATTTAATATGATGTAATAAATTTCTATTTTCTGTACGTTAACATCAAAGGCTGACGTGCTTCAAGGAAGAATTATATCAATAACATTTCTTCATCAAACAAATGCTTTTGAACTTCCATCTGTATTACACGGAACTCGATTACATAAAATATTCATTAAAGATGCATTAGAAAACGTTCTTTCAAACTATTGTAACAACTGTTAAATAAAAAGGTAGGATATGACTAATGCAGAAAAAATCTCCCAAGAATTGAATAGATATTAAAGCGCCAAAAATGAAGTTTATTCTCATAATAGTTTTACGAATAGATAAGCTTCTGTTGATATGGTGAAGTATAAAGTGTGCCCTGGTTCGTTTTCATGTTTTGGTGTATCTCATTCAAATTGCTTTTAAATTCATGTTTAATAGGTTAATAAGATATGCTTCTGAGAGATAAATGACAGTGAACGTCATTTATTAACTTTAAGTTTCAATAACGAAACATCTGTGTTTAATGAACATATAATTAGAAATTCATACTTTATTACATTTATTTTATGAATTTCAAATTCGCATAAAATATACAGAACCCAATAACCTGGGGGTCTCTGTGTATAGTAAAGTTCTTTGCTTACAAAAATATTGAAGTTTAAGAAGTTACACGCTCATCTTCTCAATAAAAAACTATTTAAAACCAAAAAATATATTAAAGTTAAGTTTTAAACTTTTGTGAAAGTAAAATTGAAAACTGTAAAGCTTACGAACTTGAAGAATCGTCCATATAAATCTAGCTATTTAATCTATGTATATTTATGCATAATACAATAATTTATGTTTAAGTACTCTAATCATTTCATTTATTTTTGCTAAAAACAAAAAGAAAGTTTTTTTCATAAAGCATACGAAAATTTACCTTATATCCACTGTGGTTGCAGAAAACTTTACTTGAAATATTCTGCTGAGTGCCGCCTGTTGAGACTGTATGGAGAGACTTTTGTGACCCTCCGTCTCTTCGTAAGCTCCCAACTTGACTGAGTGATAGAGAGCGCTGGGTATCGTTAGTAGAAAGAAGACTTGGTTTGTTTTCGGTAACAAGGACATGAAGATACTTCTGTGAAGCTGCGTGAACCTCGGCGTAATAAAGTAATTGTGCGTCACTACTCTCGTGTATATACGTCTACTTTTTCCACCAAAAATACGTGTCTACACGGTACTTATTCGGGTTTACGTGTTTATTTATTTTAGTGGTAAATTCCAGTCTACATGATTATTCGAGTCTACACATTTTTTTTCTTTTTTGGAACGGTCTACACGATTATTTTTTTAAATGAGTTATATTGCAATGTAAGTGGTTCGAATCAAAAATGAGAACAGTCAATTTCAGAACATTCAATGAGAACGACATTTGCGTTGCTTCTTCAAATAGACAACATTTGTAAACAAAATTAGAATACATCCTGAAATTCAGTTCAGTCTCATTGTCGGTATTTAGATCATTTAAGACCTGAGAGGGTCAGATTCGTCGACCTCTTCCTCCTTCCTGAATATTGTTGGGTGTCTACTGAAGAATGTAGGTGTGGATACTACAAGAGGGTTGGAGTAAATCGCACTTACTCTGACCCCTATCAGGGTAATGTCCATGTAGGTATTGGTTTGGTTTGTTCTGAATTTCGCGCAAAGCTACACGAGGGCTATCTGCGCCAGCCGTCCCTAATTTAGCAGTGTAAGACTAGAGGGAAGGCAGCTAGTCATCACCACCCACCGCCAACTCTTGGGCTACTCTTTTACCAACGAATAGAGGGATTGACCGTCACATTATAACGCCCCCACGTCTGAAAGGGCGAGTATGTCTGGTGGAACGGGAATTCGAACCTGCGACTCTCAGATTGAGAGTCGAGCGCCCCATGTAGGTATCGACAGTAACATTCGTGTGATAAGTAACACTTTCTCGTAATTCGCTATTAAATTGTCCTGTACTTCACGAACAGTTTCTGCTCCTGAAATTGACAACATTCTATCTGACATAGTTGTACATTACTGTTGTACATGTTGTAGTTTGTTTGTTATAAATTTCGCGCAAAGCTACACGAGGGCTATCTGCGCTAGCCGTCCCTAAT